GATATCTTGTCTAACGGAGGCCAAGCGGGTATTAGAGAACATTGAGCAAATCAGTACACATGCCATAATACGTGGGGTGGCCATGTGTGAGTGCACTGAGCCAGGGGCTGAGACGTTTAATACGATGATCTTTTTTCGTGTCAGTGTGTGCTGACTTCGTGTGTCAGCAAAAGTTTTCGACCGCAATAAGTCATGTCAGCAAACATTAGATCATTTTACGCTGGAGTGACGTTTGCTATGGACCTGTCCTGTTGATATCGCACGGAATCGGACAATCTTGTCAAACACGCTTTACCAAAGCTATCTTGGTAGCTAGTAAATACATAATATCCTTCCTCGATACGACCAGTTCGATGGAGTCTTGTCGGCGCTCCGTCCTACGTCACTTGCACATCCTTGGGTCGTAGGTCTACAGCTGATGTTCTTTATGCGACTTACGGATGGATCACTTTGACTCGTCCGCTTGCAACGAGAGAAATTCGAGTTAGGTGCAAGCCTCATTTCACACTCTCTGACTTGTCTCTCTGATGATGCCGCTTGAATTATTGCGCGAAAAAGATGACCCTTGCATGTGTGCGCACGTACCTACGTATTCTAGTGCTTGCCAAAACAAGACCCTTTTCTTCGGAAAGACACACAATCTTACAAATCGAAAGAGGATTGCATTGATATGTGAATCCAACACGGGTTCATCGGCAAAGACTAAAGTGCCTTCATCTGTAACGAAGACTTTTGATGCTTTGGTATGGCACCCACCCAAGTGTTGGAGCTAAAAGGGTCGAGAGCAGTACAGTTTTTTGTGTGCAAAGCAATGATTTATAGTTTATGATAACCCTACCCCAGACATCAGCGCGCGGCTGGCGCAATGGATAGCGTATCAGACTTCGAATCTGGGGGTTGCGGGTTCGAGTCCCGCGTCGCGTAGTTGCTTTGACCGACAAAACACACTCTTTACCAAATACCGAACCTGACAAACCGTGATCAGAGGAAAAGAGAAGTAACGCAGTATCGCAGGCAGCATCGATGTACTGAGTGACTGCTTCCCACCCCACTTCACAAGCTCCACTTTATCGAAAGAAATTCTTCATCATGGCAATATGCGTGCGCTTGCTTCCGACACAGGATGCTCTCCCTAGTAACTGTTGGAAGTGGAGTTGTCATAGCGGACACTCCCTTCCGGGTCGACGCCCCACTTGCCAGGTTTAGTAGTTACAGTGGGTGATTTGTGTGTTTACACTAAGTTCTAGAAGATTTTTGGTTTGGTAGTGCACGATACAGAAAGATCTCACTTCTAGATTGGATAAGCTACTGACGCGGCCCCCGGCGGGGAGCTGAAACGTGTCTGGCGTTTTAATACAGAAGCCTTTCATTACATCTCTTTGATTTCCAACAGTAACCTCAACGTGTACGCGATATCGAACGCAAGACACTTCACGCGAATCGAATGAGTCACTAGGGTGATAACTCACTGGGAAAGTGAGTCACTAGGGCGATAATCCACTGGAAAGTGCAATGCAGATTGGCACTTGTTCATTCATCTTGTGTCAAAACGTATCTATGTCAGCACAACACAACGGAGAGATTGGACGATCACTACTGCCAAAACCCTCGTTCGAAAGACCATCGAAACATAAACAAACTCACAGTCATGAAAAGTGAAGTCTATGCGGAAAGCAAAGCTGGGTGTTCAGACAGAACATAAACTTCGTAGCGGCACGGTTTCAGAACGTGAATGACCTGAATAGGAGCCGGAGTTGCCAGTCTGAAGATATCGATCAGGCGAGAGCAGATACCGTAAGATTTACTTGTAAAGAGAGCTGTTGCAGATCTTCGTCTCCATAATTAGCGGTTGATGCCCTTTTATCGAAAGAGGGCGGCCGACAATCACGAGAGGCAGACCAGGCAGATTTTGTCGACCTGCGCGATCAGAGCACAAAGCTCAAGACAAATGGTGAGAAGTCATGCTGCCGTGGCCAATTAGTTGATGTTGTTTGTGTAATAAGTATGAGACAAGTAAAGTAAACGACTTGTACATTACCGCGCACCAGACGCGTTTCGGCCCCTCGCCGGGGGCCTCATCAGTGGTTTTTCATTCTACAAGTGAGAATAATCCATACATCTAGCTGCTGAACGACCTAATATAATGCATCAAAGCCTAAAGAACATTCTTTACATACCCTATCATGGGTCGAATCTCTGGAGTCGAATCCAGTGCATCTTGCACCTCCAACAGTTTGCACCAGATGTAGGAGTTGTTGAGTTCGTGTTTGCGTCAATGCGAAGAATGAGCCGCTGATGTTTCCGCGAGGTAGTAATCACAACGACACAAAACATTTTCTCTTTTTTGTACGCATCTCTCCTTTTAACTGAAATACCGCGAAACGTCTGGATCTTCGATGAAAGGTAGCCCAAAAGGCGGACAGTAATATTGGGCTAGCTTGAAATGTGCTGTACCGTCGAAATGATTTAGCACCTGGACTACATTTCTACTGTGTCGTACGGACCTGCGTGCGTACTAATGGCTGGTGGTCGAGAAATTGTTACCTTGTTTAACAGATGCCAAGGGGGTGTAAGAAATCTTCGAGCATTGCAATACATATGCCATTTGACATGGGGTCATCATGTTATAGTGGTACTTATGGGGTTGCAAAAAGTTTGAGAGAATCAGCGGGATCAATACGATCAGCATCATCGGACTCATGTGAGCCATTACTTGCATGCTCACAGAAATATGAGGGTGAATCGATGCCTGTCCGGTGTATTGTTCTCCAGAATATATACTAATGTGAAGAAACACGTTGCATCAGCTCATGGTCCCTTATCGTCACGTTTTAAGTAGATTTATACGTACCCCTGATACACAAAGCAAATTAAATCCCCATATGTGTCTCATTAGCTGGCACCTACACAGATCTCTATCGCGTTGCGCGAGGTAGTTTTTGAGCGCAACATCAATACCACTACGCAAACGCGAGAGACTGGTATCACCCGAATATGCGGTACAAGTCGTACAGAGAGGACCGTTGCTAGTCCTCTACTCAAACGATACAGTATCCACTCGAATGATACTTTTTTACGAAAAGCCTTGTTCCTTGAGTTTTTAAATGTGAGCGATCCATTCGCTCAGATCTTTTTCTCTTCGACAGCATAGATTACGTGCGAAGCAGGTAATCGTAGACTGATGCGGGTATGAAACGGGGCTAAGTACATAGTTGAACATTAAGTTGATCTCGGTTATGTGAGGCCATCATTGCTGCACAAGCAGTCGAAAATCATGGAAACGTAACTTGTCGCTGAGAAATACCACGCATTTTCTTTCTACTGGGTGATGGCAACCTCTTCAGTCTCACTCAAAACGCATTTTACCTTGAGATAATATAAACGGACGTCACGCGCACTTCAGGTTATTAGGTGCTTCTGACATAAGGAGCGTTCGAAATGAATTCGGGGCGCTTGAATATTCAAAATGACGATGAAAATTCGGTCTACAGGTGTTGTGATCGCATCCAAGTATAAGGAAGAACGGGTGAAATTAGTGGATGGGCTACCACGAGAGGAACGTACCCATTCGGTATTACTTGGGGTCCTAATGTAACGGGGCAGTCCGTTACATGAAATTGACACCAAATGGTGTCGAAAGGAATATTGTCTAGCATGACAATATTCTATCAATAGTATCCCAGATGGATGATATTGAAGGAATATTATCCCTTTTAGATAATACTCATGCGCTGCTCCAAGATTGGTTGATATAAGACATAGTAACCATAAATTGCCATCAATCGCTGCTAGACGCGCGCAGTGAGTGGTGAGCAGGTTGTCGTCATACGACGGCGTAGTTTAATATAGTTAGATAAAGACTGAAGTTACATTGATAGTTTACCTATATTAAATACAGTTCTCTTTTACCTTTACCTGACCGAGTCGTTCAAGTAGATTTGATATCTCTGCACGTACTAGTGTACGTGAAGTTTCGTGGCACCCAGGCAACGGGTGCCCCGTTACACCTGGTAGCACTTTGTAGTCCGTCCAACGACTTCTTAGTGTCCGTCCAACATGAACATGTTGGACGTAGACGACGAGAGCTTTCACGCCACACGTGAAGGCTACTCCGATCTGATTGACTCAGAATGGGAGGCTGTCGGCCGCATGAGTGTGCTCATGGGCGAACCCGCCATCAGTGGTATGTTGGAGTCTCTAAGCAGAGACCAGTAACATCCTGCTATCAACAAGTTCCTACAAGGGGAACTTGCCGTCGAACGACAGAAGATAGCCTTGCTACAGTAGCAAGGCTCTCATCAGTCGATGGGCGGCTGACGCACATGCGTCGATCCGAAACCGTGAAGATTGATATCTCAAGGTACTAGGGAACCGATGAAGATTCCCTTTTGAGATGGTTCGTCGAGTTAGACCATGCCATCAGGGCCCGTCACATCGAGGGTGACGAGATGCAAGTCACCTTCGCCCTGTCAAATTTGACGGGACGAGCACAGGCTTGGGTCTTAGGGCTCAAGCTTCACGACCTAAACGTGTTTGAGTTGTTGGAGATCCTAAGGTCTCGGCTTAAAGAGACGTTTGGGCCGCCGAGAGCCGAGTCCAGAGCACGCTCTGCACTCTTGAGGCTAAAGTAAGGTAAGCGTGACGTGCACGCTTACGCTCAGCACCTACGCTACCTTGCGAGTAGCGTTACGGAGAACCCTGTTGATGAGCACACGCTCATCAACGTATTCATCTATGGTCTTGTGGATGGGCCGGTGAAGACCTACATGTTCCGAGAGGCCTTCCATACGCTGGAAAGGCAATAGCGGAATCGGAACAAGACGACTTCAGCCTGAGACAGCCTCAGGCTAACTCGTCAAAATATCGTCCGACGAGACGACAGGAAACAGGAGGTTCCGAATTAATGAACGTCTGTTACATCGAGAGCGAGAACTCTCGCTCTCTGAGTCACAAGCGAACGGCAAGATGCCATCAATGTCAAAAGATTGGTCACTACGCTCATGAGTGTAGTGTCCCGAGCACTGCCACACGTCCAAATACAGGACGTGATGACCACCGTTGGCCAAGGAAAGGTCCGAGGCGTAGGTCCGACCATGTCGCTAAGCTGCGACAGCAAGTGGGGCCGTCGAAAACGGTCAGGGTCAGTAGGGGCGGAGCACCCTGCTGATCCAGCAACGTCAAGAGAATTTGCAGGACTCTCGACGAAGATTGCTCCCAACACACAGTCTCTGTGTGTTACTGCCCCTGTTGATGAGGAGTCTCTCATCACTTCAAAGATCGAAGTGAAAAATGGAATGTCACTTCGCGCCCTGGTTGACTGTGGGGCGTCGAACAGTTTCATTCGACGCCAGTCGCTAGGGGATCGTAGGCTCAACTATGTTGAGCGATAGCTATCTCCAACGAGGATGACGGTGTGCCTTGCTATAGGCGCATCCGTAACAGTGAATAAACGTGTAGTGGGAATTCACTACACGCTAGAAGGAAAGCAGTACGATGATAACTTTATCGTAATAGATTTGGGTGACAAATTTGATGTCATCCTTGATCTGTTATGGCTTAGATAGTACCAGTCATGGGTTAGCTGGCAGCATCGATCCGTGAAGATGCCTGCCGTTTGTTCGTTAGATGGCAATTTGATCAACGTCTTGGAGCGTCCACAAGCGTGTGGATGTACTACGAGTGAGTGCGATGGCCTCACTTGTGGTACGGTTTTGTTAGTACGATTGCACAAGATCACAGTGTAGAAGGCCACTACACTGTGAAACCATTAATCGGCACCTGTGTAGAGACACAGGCTGCGCCTAAAGTTCACCACTCGGAGATATCGAGTGGACTGGAACACGGATGCACACCAGGAAGGGTGCATCCAAGAATAGGATCAGTGTTGTTCAGGATAAACAACGCGTTCAAGCGCGATCGACTATCAGAGAGTCGATCGAAGAGGACGTGACTGTGGTAGTGCACACACAGTTAGTACACAAAATGGAAGAACGTTCCGGCGTTCCTGAGAGTGATGTTTACCGAGAGAGTTATGTTGAGGGTGTAGATCCCCAACCACCTGCGGATGTGTTTTTTAAGGGAAACACCGAGACAGTGAATGTATTGGTGAATGACGGATCAAGTGTAGGCGCTTACACACTTGATCTGGTTACGCCCTCGGAGACAGCTTCGGAGGTAGTCAAGTTGCCACCACAAGAATCTGAAAGATTCTTGCGAGACCTGCGTAGTGACAAGATCAAGCAGATCTGCGTACTTGTCACAGAGGACGAGTACGTCGCCGATATTCGGTCGGCACAAGCGTTTGCTGAGAACGAAAGGGTTTTCAGTAGCTCATCGATGGACGATAGTGTCCTCGATGGGAAGACCCGGATTGTGGGATACACGTCTCAATCTTGTAGTCTATAAAGACACATCCTTTGTATAAAAATTTGGTTGAATTAAGAGATTTTCCCCCGGAATTCGTGCCATGCGAGCTGCCCAAGAACGAAGGCACTCGGCACGAGATCGAACTATGCCCTGGTTCGAAATACTGTGTCATGAAGCAGTAGCCACTGCCTCGTGAACAGGTAACAGCGATCGACAAATTCTTTGCCGATCGTTTAGCGGCTGTTCATGTGAGGGAATCAACATACCCACACATCTCTCCGACCTTCTGTGTGCGAAGGCCACAGGAGGGTGGCGCATAGTACACGTTCAACAAACTGATCGCTACAACAGTACCGGCCCGAACGCCAATCCCAAGAAAGGACGTAATCATAGGTGGTATGGCAAAGAGTAACATCTTTTCTACCGTGGATTTAATGATTGGATTCTATCAGATCCTCATGCGTGAACGGAATATTCCTTACACAGCAGTGAGCACCCCCAGTGGTATGCTCTGGGAGTGGCTAGTGATACCACAGGAGCTAAGTAACGCCCCTGCAACGTTTAACAGATGTGTTACGAACCTGTTGCGATCGGTGCGCGACTTTGCACCTAGTTACTTCGACGATGTCTTCGTCCATAAGCCGGGCTATGGATGGAAAGACGGACGTGGAGGTTCATAGAATCCGCGTCCGGAAGGTTCTTACCCTAATGAGAGAGCAAAAGTTGTTTCGCGAACCTCAAGAAGTGTATATTCGCAGCGAGCGAAATATCACCTCTTGGCTGCATCGTGGGTAAAAACGGTGTACGCCCGGATCCGGAAAAGATCAAGGCGATTAGCGATTTGCGACTGGCCTGTGCCAGTCGACGTCAAGGGACTTCGAATGTTCCTTGGCTTGGCGGCGTGCTTGCACAATAACTCGCCCAACTATACCGAGATGACCGTACATCTCTCTCGTCTACTTAAGAAAAACGAGAGGTGGTCATGAAGCGCTAAGCACTCTTTTGAAGGCATCAAGAAAAGCTTGGTGCAATCGCCTGTGTTGGCGAATGCGGATCAAGATAGACCATTTCATGTGGTCTGTGACGCCAGCCATTTTGCAATCGGCTGCGCGTTAATGCAGTACGACTCAGACGGCGTTGAGCGCATCGTCTGTTATCAATCGCGTCAGCTGCAAGCATCCGAGCGTAATTACCCGGTGCATGACAAGGAACTCCTTGCCATAAAATTTGCACTGGCTAAGTTTCGGGTATATCTCTTCGGAGATAGGCCCTATATCGTTTATACCGACCATGCGTCGTTACGCACGGCCGTAAACAGTCCACACCTCTTGAAAAGAATGGCGAGGTGGCTGTCTTTCTTCGCGGAGTACAACTTCTCCGTCGATTACAAACCAGGACGAGTTAATGTCGTCGCTGATGCTCTTTCGCGTCGGCCCGATTTCGAGCCGACTTCTCTACCTAACAGTGGGGGTGATCCCACTGTCGCAACACTATCAGTGAGTTTTCCGTCGTCGAATCTGGTCGGTGACGTGCGAAAGCATACACAGAAGATGAGTATCTTTGTGATTGATGGATCACGTATCTAATCTATGCAGTCAAGCTTTGAACAGCTTGACGTCTCAATAACGCTCTACAATTGAACGTTAATAGGGTCGTAATGTACTGCTGCACTACACAGCAGCCCAGGGCGACACACCTCGTGTCGTCGTCCCCGCTAATGATGATATGAGATTGCGCGTCATGTAGGAGTGTCACGATGCCCCAACAAGTGGACATCGCGGTAGAGAAAAGACTTACCTCATGGTTAGTCGTGACCTCTACTGGCCCCGCCAGTATGAGTTTGTGCGCCAACACACTCGCGCTTGCGAAGTTTGTCAACGTGTGAAGCCTATTTCTTCATCCCGCGCACCCTTGCACCCTCTCCCGATTCTGGTAGAGTGTTGGAAGTCCGTATCGATGGACTTTGTCTTCGGGTTTCCCAAAGACGTTCACAAGAATACTGGTATTCTTGTGTTTTTTGACCGGTTCAGCAAGATGGTACATCTTGTTGTAGTACCGGAGTCAATCACAGTCCAGGGCTATGCACGTGTCTTCATCGATACTATCTTCCAACTTCACGGGTTACCCCGTTAACTCGTATTCGACAGAGACCCCCGCTTCACAGCGGAGTTCTGGCAATCCGTGTTCCGTTCGCTTGGAACACGTTTGACGATGTCAACTTCTGACCATACAGAAACCAATAGTCTGACATAACGCGTCAACCGCGTCCTCGAAGAGATACTTCGAGGGTATATCCAATCGTTTACAAGCTGGAGTGAGTTCTTGCCGATGGCGGAATTCGCCATCAACAACTCGGTGCTCGCGTCGCAATGCGTACACCGTTCTTCGTAAATGTCCCACGCCCTCCACGTTTACCCGCCTTCTTAGAGTTGTTAGAATTAACTAGGTTGTGGAGCTGATGCTAAGAAGAAGATGGCTTACGGCCGGGGATGAAAACCGAAAAGTGAGTTATATTCAAATTGTTCCTAGCTTCGAAAACGAATGGCTAGTAGTAGCCGGTGGCTCTCAGCCACCTTTTTCATGCCCTGTCTCTACCGCTTTCTGTTTTACCTATCACTGGGTAATTACGTATCGTAAATACCTTTCGTAAAAACTCTGCTGTGTCAAACGGAGAATGAAGTGATTGCGTGGGTGGGGGACGTAACTGCGGGCGGGTCACAGTTCTGGTGAACCCCAAACACCAGGTCGTGAGTGTCAGTCACAATTAACTTGCACGGGGTTCGGACCCGCACTCACCCGCGTGGAATACCCCTTCCAAACGACTGAGCCAATCCGATGCTTTGTCGAATCGCTGACATCCCACGACATGTATGTGCCAAAGAACAGTACAACTAGTGGTAATATGCAACATACATCCTGCACAAGTCGCCGCAGAATCACTCGCTAACACTCTCCCTTGATGTGCGTGCGACGTGTGCGCCCTACACCGCCATGCACAGACCCGTGATGAACTTCCCGTGCTTGTCTCTTGGATGTGCCTTGGTGAATCCATCCGCGACCATTTCTTCTGTCGGCTTGAGCTCGAGCGCGATCACTGCACTTGCAACCTTTTCCCGCAAAAAGTGAAACTTGATGTCGATGTGCTTCGTGCGCGAGTGGTACACAAGATTCTTGGCCAGCGCGATGCAACCTTGATTGTCTTGAAAAATCGTCGTCGCGTTCTTGGCACAGTAGTTTAGGTCCTTGAGCAGACCTCGAAGCCAAATTGCTTCCTGCGTCGCGCTGTACAGACTCATGTACTCTGCTTCCGTACTTGAGGTCGCGACCGTTGGTTGACGCTTCGAATTCCACGATATCACGCTTCCGTACAGGAAGAAAACGTATCCTGTTGTCGAACGCCGCGTGTCGAGGTCGCCAGCCCAGTTGGCATCCGCGAATCCGATCAGCTCTCCCTTGTTGATGCCGCTGAAAACGATGCTTAAGTCTTGAGTCGTCTTGAGATGCTTGAGAATCCGCTTTGCTGCTGTCCAATGCGACTTGTCGTAGCGCTCGCAAAACTTCGCAACTTCGCCAACCTCATGCACAATGTTCGGTCGTGTACACGTGGCGATGTACATTAAGCGCCCACCAGCTCACGGTATGGGTACTTTGGTACAAACGCTTCCTCTTGACCTATCTTGATCAGCTTCGAGTTACTGTCCGCCGGCGTGTGCACGTCCTTGCAGTTTTCAACGCCGAACTTCTCCGAAAGTCGCTTGATGTACGCCTTCTGGTTCATCTTGATCGTTCCATCTTCGCGCTTGCGATGAATCTCGATCCCGAGGCAGTACTTGAGATCTCCAAGATCTTTATTGCTGAAATCTTCCATCAATGAGTTCTTGATACCTGCGATGTGCTCCTTCGTCTTGCAGAAAATCATCAAGTCGTCCACGTAAATCACGATGATGCTGTACTCCTCTCTTTTCACTCGAACGAACACACACGGGTCCGCTGTACTGCTCTTGAATCCTTGATCAACCAAGTGCTGACTCAACTTGTTGTTCCACTGCCGCGCCGCTTGCTTCGTCCCGTATAGCGCCTTCTGCAGCAAACACTTCTTATTCGGGCTTCCTTCATCTTCAAAACCGTCAGGTTGGTCCATGTAGATCTCCTCTTCCACTTCGCCATAGAGAAACGCTGTGTCAACATCAACGTTTTCTGCTTCCAGGTCTTCAGCTGCAGCGATCGCCAACACTGTGTTGATAGATTCCTTGCGCGCCACTGGTGCAAAGGTCTCGTTGTAGTTGATACCAGGACGCTGCGTGAACCATTTAACAACCAAGCGTGCCTTGAACTTGATGATCTCCCCACTTGGATCGCGTTTGATCTTGAAGACCCACTTGCAGCCTAAGGCCTTCTTGCCCGGTGGCATGTCCACAAGCTTCCATGTGCTGTGTTCTTCAAGCGACTTCATCTCGCTCTTCATTGCCTGTAGCCACTGCTCCTTGTAGCTGCTCTTCATTACTTCTTGATAGCTGGACGCTTGTTCCCCATCTTCTTCAGCCGAGAAACAGTAGAAAGAGTCGAAGTCACCTTCGTAGTCGTCCAAATGGAAGTGACCGCGACGATGGCTTGGAAATTCTTGTTCGTAGCGAACCACGCCGCGCTTCTTCCGAACCGGTCGCACCATCCACTCTTCTTCTCCATTTCTTCCGGGTGTGCTGGATGCGCGCGTAGGAATGGTGTCGCTTGGTCGATCACTTGGTCCGGGATGAGAGCTGTTCTGCGCTCGAAGTGGTGGGGTGCGTAGCTCTTCTTCGGTCACCGGCGCTGGTTTGTCTTCATCATCGGGTAGCGACGCCTCCACACTTTCCTCTTCTTCAATGACATCGAACACCCGCGTGTCTCTGCTTATCGATTTTTTCGAGACAGAATTCTCAGCGAACGTGACGCTTCTTGAAATCACGATTGAGCCAACGTCCGCGTCAAGAAGCCGATACGCCTTTTGGTCCTTCGCATAGCCGAGAAAGAAACATCGCAGGCCTGAGTCGTCCAGCTTCTTCCTCTTCTCCTTCGCCACATGCGCATAGCATTGCGCACCAAACACGCGCATGTGATCGATGCGCGGAACCTTCTTGAACACCATCTCGTGTGGGCTTGAGCTCTTGTTCGACGCGTTCGGCAGAATGTTTTTGATGTCTGCCGCTGTCATTAGTGCCTCGCACCAGTACGACTTTTCGAGACCGCTTTCCTTGAGCATACAGCGCGTCATCTCCACCAGCGTGCGGTTCATCCGCTCCGCCATCCCGTTCTGCTCTGGATTGTACGGAACCGTGAACTCTTGCTTGATGAACTTTGCCTTGCAAAAGTTGTTCATCGTTGCGTTCCGGTATTCACCGCCGTTGTCACTCCGCAACACCTTTATCTTCGTTCCAGATGCTGTCTTGACATCTTGGTAAAACCGCTTGAACGCACTCGGAACGTTGCTATTCTTTCGCAACGGATAGACCGTTACATACCTGCTCTTCATCATGATGAAGGTTACGGCGTAACTGAAACCAGACTTGGACGCTGGTGTGATAGGACCGAGAACGTCGGAGCACACCACCACGTCGGAACGCAAACTCTCACTGGTTTCAGCGTCTTCTTCACTTGTCTTGAATGACTTGCGCACTTGCTTTGACGTTGCGCATACGTCACACGCAACGTTCGTCTTCATCGTTGCGCCCTTGATCCTTCCGTCCTTGACCATGGCATTCAGCGTACCATACGACACGTGGCCCAATCTTCTATGCCACAGCTCTGCATCGTCTTCAGCCATGTGGCATTCCATACCATAGTCAGCGTTTAGATACAGTAGGAACCCCTTCTTCCTTCCTGTTGCGACGGGTTTGACGCCACGCTTCACCACGCACGCGTTGCGCGTAATCTCCACTGTCATGCCGCGCGCTGCCGTAGCCGTGAGCGAAAACAGGTTCTTGGACAAATCTTGAACGTGAAGTGTGTTCTCAAGGCGAGCGTCGATCCACGCATGCCCTGTCCAGACGCGCAGCTTCACTGTCCCATGTCCAATGACATTCAGCTTCACGTCGCTCTTTGCGCTTGAAATGCTTCGCGCGTGATGCACTTCTTCGTACTCTTCGAACGCATCTCGATCCTTGCACATGTGTGCTGACGCGCCACTGTCCATGACCCAGCTGTCGCTCGCGAAACCGTCGCAAGCATTAAACGCGACATTCGACTGGTCATGCTGCTACTCCCTTGGCCCTCGACCAGAGCGACAATCTCTGGCGTAGTGTCCGACCTTGCCACAGTTGTAGCAGGTCCCTGATGGTCCCTTCGCGCGCCGTACTTGTTGCTTCTTCGGGTACTGCTTACCCTTCCTCTTGCCTGCGTAGAGCGCCGTCGCATCTTCTACCCGTGCAGCCTCATTCTGGCGCACTTCTTCGGCGATCAACTTGCTCACGAGGTCACTGAAACTGAAGCTTGCGACGGACATGCGGAATGCCTGTACCAAGCTCTCGAAGCTTGAAGGTAGACTCCGCAACAGTACTGCGCACACGTCCTCTTCACTCGGACCGCAGTTCGCGCGCTTCATCTTCATCACGAGGTCCTCCATCTCCATGACATGACCGCTCATGCTTGAAGCTGCATACTTGAACGAGGCGAACTTTTCCTTTAGCCAAAGTCGATTCGCCATGTCATGACTGTGATGAAATCGCGCCAAATGTCCCCACGCTTCTCTTGCAGTGGCCGAGTCGATGACATGCATCATCTACGAGTCGCTCAGATTGAGCACGATCGCGGCGTGGGCTTGCTGTTCCTTGGCCTCACTTGTTGTCTCATCGCTTGCGATCGCGCCCCCACAGCCCCTTCGACATCAGGTACATCTTCATCGTGTAACTCCACAACCCATGGTTCGAGCCGTCGAAAGGCTCGACCTTGAAACCGGAGTCGTTCCTTGGGCTCATAACCAGTTAGAATTAACTAGGTTGCGGAGCTGATGCTAAGAAGAAGATGGCTTACGGCCGGGGATGAAAACCGAAAAGTGAGTTGTATTCAAATTATTCCTAGCTTCGAAAACGAATGGCTAGTAGTAGCCGGTGGCTCTCAGCCATCTATTTCGTGCCCTGTCTCCACCGCTTTCTGTTTTACCTATCACTGGGTAATTACGTCTCGTAAATATCTTTCGTAAAAACTCTGCTGTGTCGTATGCAGAATGAAAACAATTGCGTGGGTGGGGGACGTAACTGCGGGCGGGTCACAGTTCTGGAGAGTCCCAAACACCACGTCGTGAGTGTCAGTCACAATTTACTTGCACGGGGTTCAAACCCGCACTCACCCGCGTGGAATCCCCCTTCCCAAACGACAGAGCCAATCCAATGCTTTGTCGAATCGCTGACATCTCACAATATAAAATGCCAAAGAACAATACAACTAATGCAAATATGCAATATACACCCTGCACAAGTCGCCGCATCATCACTCGCTAACAAGGGTGTCACTCAAGTTTGGGGAGGGTGGACTCGCTCGAAAAAAAACCGATCTGGTTCTTGCTCATCACGTCGACAATGGTGTCGACGTGAAGGATGCAGATGTCGATGCGATCGATATTGATGATGACGGTGACGACGATGCTAGTATATTCATCATCGCCAATAACTGCCAAAGTGAGGACGATGACACCCTCACTGTTGAAGACAACGTTCTTTCAGCAGTGCACACGAAGCGCACTGCTTTTGACAAGGATGAATCAGCAGAGGAGGTTCTGCTGACTCGCTAAGCGGTTGTCCGCCTTGTTCAAGACTCAATTGCAGATGCACTATACAGACAGAAGAGAAACGCGTACAAACACGGAAGAGCAAACGCGTCTTCGTATAACAAAGGAGACCTAGTTTTACTTTCTACAGTAAATTTACCGAAACACGCAGTGACAAACGTGGTCAGCAGTAAATTTCTTCCCAGGTACATCGGTCCATTTCGTGTGTTGCGCCGAATGGGCAATGCATACACGATTTAACTGCCCCGTAAGATGCGTACGCATCCTACATTTTACGTCGGTCGTCTCCGCCCGTACTATCAGTACGAGCCCGTTTCGCGATGCGAAGAACATTTCTGCGGTCGAGAGCCGAGACCACCTTCAAGTGGTCCTGTTTTAATGAGCCAGTCCAGTCGGATAGCGAAGCAACCTGTTCACGCAGCTCAGCGATGTCTCGACGAGCTACAGCCAGCTCGTCACGAAGAGAATGAGTCGAACATTCTTTCTCAAGTTGCGCAAGCACAAAAGCGGCACGATCGTCCGAACGATAGTGCGTTAGGGAATTAAAATTATCCCTTACAAGATCCTCAGGCCCATAACGCCGAGTCCATTCGTGAGCCAGGTCATCTTGCAACTGTTCCGTTACACGATTCAGCTCTGGAGCATCAAGCTGATCCGACCCTCGAGCCGGATCAGGTGTTCCCGCCGCTACCACATCCTTTGGTGGACTCAAGCGGTGGTCAACGCTTCCTAGTGGAGCGTATTTTGAACCACCGCGATGTAAATGGCGTCCGGACGAGTCACCTCGTCCGCTGTCGTGGCCATCTACCGGCGTGGGACAGCTGGGAGCCTCGTGCCCAGCTGATTGTTGATGTATTTTGTCTCGTCGAGCAGTACAACGAGACCCACCCGCTGCGTTTGGAGAAGGGCCGTCAGAAAATGACCTACCCGAACGCGAGTACAGGAATTGCAAGGTGTCAATCCCTTCGACCATCTCGAAAGAGACGCGCGCCTCCAGTAGGGATCACTAGGGTAGGAAGGCCTCCCGAAGGGCACGAATCAAGTTTTCTAGGCAGCTTGACGCGAATCACCTTACAAGAGACAGGGTAATCCTGCCTCTCTTGAAAGGTGGTGCAACCTCTATCGCGCTTCGACTAGGTTGCTTTTCTCAAACCTGATGCGAACTGCTTCAAGTTTGGCGAACCAGGCCTCACGGCCAATGCACTCGATGATGTGGATGAGGGCATTCCATCCTTGCACCAAGGCTTTGCCATCTCGAACACGGCCACCATTGTACCACCGATGTTTGAAAAAACGCATCGGTGAAGAATTCTTCCTTAGCACGGAGTTTTCGTGCTGGAATCAGGTGAGCAAATCTTCCTGCAATCGAACAACGGAATTCAATCCTGTTCGGTGTTCATAATGGCCTATCAATCTAAATCCTTGGATGATGGCATCCAAGAAGACTCCACTTTTGGAGCGTGGCGCAGGAAATTTCGGTCCCTGGCCTCTTGATTGGTGCCAGCCTGAGCATTGGCACCAGTGTTACCCCGATCCCTCTATTTACTTCGGTCGTGATGATGTATAGGTGCATCACCACCAGCCCCACGTGTCCTATCGTTGAACGGACTTGCGTGAGGCGGAGATTCGTCGGAATAATCACTCAATCCGAAGATCTCAGATGTGATATCGCCGCGTTGACCAGAGCCAGTCAACCTGGCTCTTGCAGTGTCCGCCACGGGTGATCCGGAGGCGTGAAAGTCGCCTTCGAGTCGGATGCATCATCCAACTCCTCAGAATAGATGAGCTCTATCTCAGACTCGTCTTAATTACGACTCGTGGTACCCGCTGCAGACGCAACGGATAAACCAGTCGCACGTGGTGACTCACCACGTGGAGGATTCACGACAGCAGGCGACGAATCGCCTACTGCTGACGCATGAGAGGCACTTTCCGCGGCCGCACGCATGCGTGCAGCCGCCCTTGTTGCTGCTGCAGTAGCAGCTCGCGTGGTTTTCGGAACCATGCGTTGGATTGGCAAATGAATGGGATTTGACCAACAATTGCTACCTTTCCCAGAGTGATCCAACGGTGGTCAATCCGTCCCAATCAATTCTAATTCAATCAACGGGTGATTGATAATCAAGAAGAGGTGATGTAACGGGGTAGCCCGTTAAATGAAATTGACACCAGACGGTGTCAATAGGAATGTTGTCTAGCATGACAATATTCTATCAATAGTATCCGAGATTGAAGGAATATTATCCCTTTTAGATAATACTCATGCGCTGCTCCAAGATTGGTTGATATGAGACATAGTAACCATAAATCGCCATCAATCGCTGCTAGACGCGCGGAATGAGTGGTGGGCAGGTTGACGTCATACGACGGCGTAGTTTAATATAGTTAGATAAAAACTGAAGTTACATTGATAGTTTACCTATATTAAATACAGTTCTCTTTTACCTTTACCTGACCGAGTCGTTCAAGTAGATTTGATATCTCTGCACGTACTAGTGTACGTGAAGTTTCGTGGCACCTAGACAAAGTGTGCCCCGTTACACTTGACGCATACTAGTGCCTAAATAAATTTCTTTTAAACCAAACCAAAAATTAAGCTTCTATCTTAGCCCGCACGAATGTATTTAAACGGCTAGCAGAAGAGGCTATCGAACCGGGCACCTGTAAGCAGCTTGAGAAAACGTATGCAAGTGTGATTTCATTTGACGCCGGACTAGGATCACGCAAAGACAAAATTATTCAAATGGAGCATCCTGTGTCGGAAGCAAGCGCACGCATATTGCCATGATGAAGAATTTCTTTCGATGAAGTGGAGCTTGTGAAGTGGGGTGGGAAGCAGTCACTCAGTACATCGATGCTGCCTGCGATACTGCGTTACTGCGTTACTTCTCTTTTCCTCTGATCACGGTTTGTCAGGTTCGGTATTTGGTAAAGAGTGTGTTTTGTCGGTCAAAGCAACTACGCGACGGGGGACTCGAACCCGCAACCCCCAGATTCGAAGTCTGATACGCTATCCATTGCGCCAGCCGCGCGCTGATGTCTGGGGTAGGGTTATCATAAACTATAAATCATTGCTTTGCACACAAAAAACTGTACTGCTCTCGACCCTTTTAGCTCCAACACTTGGGTGGGTGCCATACCAAAGCATCAAAAGTCTTCGTTACAGATGAAGGCACTTTAGTCTTTGCCGATGAACCCGTGTTGGATTCACATATCAATGCAATCCTCTTTCGATTTGTAAAATTGTGTGTCTTTCCGAAGAAAAGGGTCTTGTTTTGGCAAGCACTAGAATACGTAGGTACGTGCGCACACATGCAAGGGTCATCTTTTTCGCGCAATAATTCAAGCGGCATCATCAGAGAGACAAGTCAGAGAGTGTGAAATGAGGCTTGCACCTAACTCGAATTTCTCTCGTTGCAAGCCGACGAGTCAAAGTGATCCATCCGTAAGTCGCATGAAGAACATCAGCTGTAGACCTACGACACAAGGATGTGCAAGTGACGTAGGACGGAGCGCCGACAAGACTCCATCGAACTGGTCGTATCGAGGAAGGATATTATGTATTTACTAGCTACCAAGATAGCTTTGGTAAAGCATATTTGACAAGATTGTCCGATTCCGTGCGATATCAACAGGACAGGTCCCAAGCAAACGTCACTCCAGCGTAAAATGATCTAATGTTTGCTGACATGCCTGATTGCGGTCGAAAACTTTTGCTGACACACGAAGTCAGCACACACTGACACGAAAAAAGATCATCGTATTAAACGTCTCAGCCCTGGCTCAGTGCACTCACACATGGCCACCCCACGTATTATGGCATGTGTACTGAATTGCTCGATGTTCTCTAATACCTGCTTGGCCTCCGTTAGACAAGATATCAATATCTCGACCGCCCGACCTGAGGACGCCTGTTCATTTTTTCAATGGAGTATACAAAGAAATGAATCACTAACGATAAGGGTTGCGCTCGCTAAAGTATTTAGCCTAAAATTTTATACCACGAGCTGACGACAGTCATGCAACGCCTGTTCTTTTCATAAAAATTGACCAAAATTAGCAAGGGTTGGTAAGGTTCTGCGCGTATTATTGAATGACACCACATGCACCACCGCTTGTGTAGCCTCCCATTGATCCCTTTGAATTTCAATCTTGCGATTATGCTTTTTAGGAGGGGGGTGCTTAACGCGTTAGCTGTCATATCAAAAATTCCGAGATACTAGCAATCAGCGTTTACGGCATGGACTACCGGGGTATCTAATTCCTGATCACTTCTCAAACTTTGATTTCAGTGTCATCTGATCCGTGTCGTAATGGAGTCCATGTGCTACATCTGCTTGAAAGTAAGAAAAATGATAAATGACTTCTATATTGAAATGCGGGTCAGACGCGATTCGGCACCGCCGGGGGCCTCGTTAGCGGCTTGATCAATGAGAAGTGAGCTCTGCTGTATTACGCACTACAGACTCTATCACGCACTATACCCTGCAAAACACATTCTGGTACTTACAGTTACCACACAACCACCACACAATAATCACCACAACTGGCAGCTGAGGAGTTTACCAAAATAGGAGTGTCCGCTATGACAGCTCCTTTTCCAGCAATCCCATGTTGACGAAGTTGCGCATCTCCAGCGAGCCCAATATTACTGTCCGCCTTTTGGGCTACCTTTCATCGAAGATCCAGACGTTTCGCGGTATTTCAGTTAAAAGGAGTGTTAAGAATCGGTGATGCGACATGTGCGCATAGAGAAAATGTTTTGTGTCGTTGTGATTACTACCTCGCGGAAACATCAGCGACTCATTCTTCGCATTGACGCAAACATGAACTCAACGACTCCTGCACCTGGTGCAAACAACATCAACAAATTGGCCACAGCAGCACGACTTCTCACCATTTGTCTTGAGCTTTGTGCTCTGATCGCGCAGGCCGACAAAATCTGCCTGGTCTGCCTCTCGTGATTGTCGGCCGCCCTCTTTCGATAAAAGGGCATCAACCGCTAATTATGGAGACGAAGATCTGCAACAGCTCTCTTTACAAGTAAATCTTACGGTATCTGCTCTCGCCTGATCGATATCTTCAGACTGGCAACTTCGGCTCCTATTGAGGTCATTCACGTTCTGAAACCGTGCCGCTACGAAGTTTATGTTCTGTCTGAACACCCAGCTTTGCTTTCCGCATAGACTTCACTTTTCATGACTGTGAGTTTGTTTATGTTTCGATGGTCTTTCGAACGAGGGTTTTGGCAGTAGTGATCGTCCAATCTCTCCGTTGTGTTGTGCTGACATAGATACGTTTTGACACAAGATGAATGAACAAGTGCCAATCTGCATTGCACTTTCCAGTGGATTATCGCCCTAGTGACTCACTTTCCCAGTGAGTTATCACCCTAGTGACTCATTCGATTCGCGTGAAGTGTCTTGCGTTTGATATCGCGTACACGTTGAGGTTACTGTTGGAAATCAAAGAGATGTAATGAAAGGCTTCTGTATTAAAACGCCAGACACGTTTCGGCTCCCCGCCGGGGGCCTCGTCAGTAGCTTATCCAATCTAGAAGTGAGATCTTTCTGTATCGTGCACTACCAAACCAAAATTCTTCTAGAACTTAGTGTAAACACACAAATCACCCACTGTAACTACTAAACCTGGCAAGTGGGGCGTCGACCCGGAAGGGAGTGTCCGCTATAACAACTCCACTTCCAACAGTTACTAGGGAGAGCATCCTGTGTCGGAAGCAAGCGCACGCATATTGCCATGATGAAGAATTTCTTTCTATGAAGTGGAGCTTGTGAAGTGGGGTGGGAAGCAGTCACTCAGTACATCGATGCTGCCTGCGATACTGCGTTACTTCTCTTTTCCTCTGATCACGGTTTGTCAGGTTCGGTATTTGGTAAAGAGTGTGTTTTGTCGGTCAAAGCAACTACGCGACGCGGGGACTCGAACCCGCAACCCCCAGATTCGAAGTCTGATACGCTATCCATTGCGCCAGCCGCGCGCTGATGTCTGGGGTAGGGTTATCATAAACTATAAATCATTGCTTTGCACACAAAAAACTGTACTGCTCTCGACCCTTTTAGCTCCAACACTTGGGTGGGTGCCATACCAAAGCATCAAAAGTCTTCGTTACAGATGAAGGCACTTTAGTCTTTGCCGATGAACCCGTGTTGGATTCACATATCAATGCAATCCTCTTTCGATTTGTAAAATTGTGTGTCTTTCCGAAGAAAAGGGTCTTGTTTTGGCAAGCACTAGAATACGTAGGTACGTGCGCACACATGCAAGGGTCATCTTTTTCGCGCAATAATTCAAGCGGCATCATCAGAGAGACAAGTCAGAGAGTGTGAAATGAGGCTTGCACCTAACTCGAATTTCTCTCGTTGCAAGCCGACGAGTCAAAGTGATCCATCCGTAAGTCGCATGAAGAACATCAGCTGTAGACCTACGACACAAGGATGTGCAAGTGACGTAGGACGGAGCGCCGACAAGACTCCATCGAACTGGTCGTATCGAGGAAGGATATTATGTATTTACTAGCTACCAAGATAGCTTTGGTAAAGCATATTTGACAAGATTGTCCGATTCCGTGCGATATCAACAGTGTTGTAAGTGCATGACGCACTGGATTCGACTCCAGAGATTCGACCCATGATAGGGTATGTCTAGAATGTTCTTTAGGGTTCTATGCATTATTATAGGTCGTACGGCAGCTAGACGTATGGATAGTTCTCACTTGTAGATTGACAAACCACTGATGAGGCCCCCGGCGGGGGGCCGAAACGCGTCTGGTGCGCGGTAATATACAAGTCATTTACTTTACTTAACTCCTACTTCTTACAGGTTATGAGCCCAAGTAACGACTCCGGTTTCAAGGTCGAGCCTTTCGACGGCTCGAATTATGGGTTGTGGAGTTACAAGATGAAGATGTACCTGATGTCGAAGGGGCTGTGGGGCGCGATCGCGGGCGATGAGACAACAAGTGAGGCCAAGGAACAGCAAGCCCACGCCGCGATCGTGCTGAATCTGAGCGATTCACAGTTGATGCATGTCATCGACTCGGCCACCGCAAGAGAAGCGTGGGGACGTCTGGCGCGATTTCATCACAGTCATGACATGGCGAATCGACTTTGGCTGAAGGAAAAGTTCGCGTCGTTCAAGTATGCAGCATCAAGCATGAGCGGTCATGTGATGGAGCTGGAGGACCTCGTGATGAAGATGAAGCGCGCGAACTACGGTCCAAGCGAAGAGGACGTGTGCGCAGTACTGTTGCGGAGTCTACCTTCAAGCTTCGAGAGCTTGGTACAGGCATTCCGCATGTCCGTCGCAAGCTTCAGTTTCAGTGACCTCGTGAGCAAGTTGATCGCCGAAGAAGTGCGCCAGAATGAGGCTGCACGGGTAGAAGATGCGACGGCGCTCTACGCAGGCAAGAGGAAGGGTAAGCAGTACCCGAAGAAGCAACAAGTACGGCGCGCGAAAGGACCATCAGGGACCTGCTACAACTGTGGCAAGGTCGGACACTACGCCAGAGATTGTCGCTCCGGTCGAGGGCCAAGGGAGCAACAGCATGACCAGTCGAATGTCGCGTTTCATGCCAGCGAAGGTTTCGCGAGCAACAGCTGGGTCATGGACAGTGGCGCGTCAGCACACATGTGCAAGGATCGAGATGCGTTCAAAGAGTACGAAGAAGTGCATCATGCGCGAAGCATTTCAAGCGCAAAGAGCGACGTGAAGCTGAATGTCATCGGACATGGGACAGTGAAGCTGCGCGTCTGGACAGGACATGCGTGGATCGACGCTCGCCTTGAGAACACACTTCACGTTCAAGATTTGTCCAAGAACCTGTTTTCGCTCACGGCTGCGGCAGCGCGCGGCATGACAGTGGAGATAACGCGCAACGAGTGCGTGGTCAAGCGTGGCGGCACACCCGTCGCAACAGGAAGGAAGCAGGGGTTCCTCCTGTATCTCAATGCTGACTGTGGTACGGAGTGCCACATGGCCGAAGACGATACAGAGCTATGGCATAGAAGATTGGGTCACGTGTCGTATGGTACGCTGAATGCCATGGTCAAGGACGGAAGGATCAAGGGCGCAACGATGAAGACGAACGTTGCGTGTGACGTATGCGCAACGTCAAAGCAAGTGCGCAAGTCATTCAAGACAAGTGAAGAAGACGCTGAAACCAGTGAGAGTTTGCGTTCCGACGTGGTGGTGTGCTCCGACGTTCTCGGTCCTATCACACCAGCGTCCAAGTCTGGTTTCAGTTACGCCGTAACCTTCATCATGATGAAGAGCAGGTATGTAACGGTCTATCCGTTGCGAAAGAATAGCAACGTTCCGAGTGCGTTCAAGCGGTTTTACCAAGATATCAAGACAGCATCTGGAACGAAGATAAAGGTGTTGCGGAGTGACAACGGCGGTGAATACCGGAACGCAACGATGAACAACTTTTGCAAGGCAAAGTTCATCAAGCAAGAGTTCACGGTTCCGTACAATCCAGAGCAGAACGGGATGGCGGAGCGGATGAACCGCACGCTGGTGGAGATGACGCGCTGTATGCTCAAGGAAAGCGGTCTCGAAAAGTTGTACTGGTGCGAGGCACTAATGACAGCGGCAGACATCAAAAACATTCTGCCGAACGCGTCGAACAAGAGCTCAAGCCCACACGAGATGGTGTTCAAGAAGGTTCCGCGCATCGATCACATGCGCGTGTTTGGTGCGCAATGCTATGCGCATGTGGCGAAGGAGAAGAGGAAGAAGCTGGACGACTCAGGCCTGCGATGTTTCTTTCTCGGCTATGCGAAGGACCAAAAGGCGTATCGGCTTCTTGACGCGGACGTTGGCTCAATCGTGATTTCAAGAAGCGTCACGTTCGCTGAGAATTCTGTCTCGAAAAAATCGATAAGCAGAGACACGCGGGTGTTCGATGTCATTGAAGAAGAGGAAAGTGTGGAGGCGTCGCTACCCGATGATGAAGACAAACCAGCGCCGGTGACCGAAGAAGAGCTACGCACCCCACCACTTCGAGCGCAGAACAGCTCTCATCCCGGACCAAGTGATCGACCAAGCGACACCATTCCTACGCGCGCATCCAGCACACCCGGAAGAAATGGAGAAGAAGAGTGGATGGTGCGACCGGTTCGGAAGAAGCGCGGCGTGGTTCGCTACGAACAAGAATTTCCAAGCCATCGTCGCGGTCACTTCCATTTGGACGACTACGAAGGTGACTTCGACTCTTTCTACTGTTTCTCGGCTGAAGAAGATGGGGAACAAGCGTCCAGCTATCAAGAAGTAATGAAGAGCAGCTACAAGGAGCAGTGGCTACAGGCAATGAAGAGCGAGATGAAGTCGCTTGAAGAACACAGCACATGGAAGCTTGTGGACATGCCACCGGGCAAGAAGGCCTTAGGCTGCAAGTGGGTCTTCAAGATCAAACGCGATCCAAGTGGGGAGATCATCAAGTTCAAGTCACGCTTGGTTGTTAAATGGTTCACGCAGCGTCCTGGTATCAACTACAACGAGACCTTTGCACCAGTGGCGCGCAAGGAATCTATCAACACAGTGTTGGCGATCGCTGCAGCCGAAGACCTGGAAGCAGAAAACGTTGATGTCGACACAGCGTTTCTCTACGGCGAAGTGGAAGAGGAGATCTACATGGACCAACCTGACGGTTTTGAAGATGAAGGAAGCCCGAATAAGAAGTGTTTGCTGCAGAAGGCGCTATACGGGACGAAGCAAGCGGCGCGGCAGTGGAACAACAATTGAGTCAGCACTTGGTTGATCAAGGATTCAAGAGCAGTACAGCGGACCCGTGTGTGTTCGTTCGAGTGAAAAGAGAGGAGTACAGCATCATCGTGATCTACGTGGACGACTTGATGATTTTCTGCAAGACGAAGGAGCACATCGCAAGTATCAAGAACTCATTGATGGAAGATTTCAGCATTAAAGATCTTGGAGATCTCAAGTACTGCCTCGGGATCGAGATTCATCGCAAGCGCGAAGATGGAACGATCAAGATGAACCAGAAGGCGTACATCAAGCGACTTTCGGAGAAGTTCGGCGTTGAGAACTGCAAGGACATGCACACGCCGGCGGACAGTAATTCGAAGCTGATCAAGATGGGTCAAGAGGAAGCGTTTGTACCAAAGTACCCATACCGTGAGCTGGTGGGCGCTTTAATGTACATCGCCACATGTACACGACCGGACATTGCGCATGCGGTTGGCGAAGTTGCGAAGTTTTGCGAGCGCTACGACAAGTCGCATTGGACAGCAGCAAAGCGGATTCTCAAGTATCTCAAGACGACTCAAGACTTAAGCATCGTTTTCAGCGGCATCAACAAGGGAGAGCTGATTGGATTTGCGGATGCAAACTGGGCTGGCGACCTCGACACGCGGCGTTCGACAACAGGATACGTTTTCTTCCTGAACGGAAGCGTGATATCGTGGAACTCGAAGCGTCAACCAACGGTCGCGACCTCAAGTACGGAAGCAGAGTACATGAGTCTGTACAGCGCGACGCAGGAAGCAATTTGGCTTCGAGGTCTGCTCAAGGACCTGAACTACTGTGCCAAGAACGCGACGACGATTTTTCAAGACAATCAAGGTTGCATCGCGCTGGCCAAGAATCCTGTGTACCACTCGCGCACGAAGCACATCGACATCAAGTTTCACTTTTTGCGTGAAAAGGTTGCAAGTGCAGTTATCGCGCTAGAGTTCAAGCCGACAGAAGAAATGGTCGCGGATGGATTCACCAAAGCACTTCCAAGAGACAAGCACAGCAAGTTCATCACGGGTCTGTGCATGGTGGTGTAGGGCGCACACGTCGCACGCACATCAAGGAAAAGTGTTAGCGAGTGATGCTGCGGCGACTTGTGCAGGGTGTATGTTGCATATCACCACTAGTTGTACTGTTCTTTGGCAGATTCATGTCGTGGGATGTCAGCGATACGACAAAGCATCAGATTGGCTCAGTCGTTTGGAAGGGGTATTCCACGCGGGTGAGTGCGGGTTTGAATCCCGTGCAAGTTAATTGTGACTGACACTCACGACCTGGTGTTTGGGGTTCACCAGAACTGTGACCCGCCCGCAGTTACGTCCCCCACCCACGCAATCGTTTTCATTCAGCATATGACACAGCAGAGTTTTTACGAAAGGTATTTACGAGACGTAATTACCCAGTGATAGGTAAAACAGAAAGCGGTGGAGACAGGGCACGAAATAGGTGGCTGAGAGTCACCGGCTACTACTAGCCATTCGTTTTCGAAGCTAGGAACAATTTGAATACAACTCACTTTTCGGTTTTCATCCCCGGCCGTAAGCCATCTTCTTCTCAGCATCAGCTCCACAACCTAGTTAATTCTAACAGGTTATGAGCCCAAGTGCTCGCTGCAGACACCTCACCAAGGACCAACTTGTGCGAGGGACACCCCGTCAGAGAAGGCGCTCGATGCACGAGTAAGGCGCCGAAGAATTCATCGACAGGGATCGTTGACGGTGCGCGTGCAGTCGAAAAGGGTTTGTGCAAGGGTGGTGACGCGAGATGGTCTGAATGCGCGAGTGCTATCGAAGGAAGAGTCAAGTCAAGTGGTGACAAGTGTATTTGTGGTCAAGAAGAAGTGGAAACTACATGCAAGGCGAACGACGACTACGAGATGTCAAGATGTGACATGGTGCTGGACGATGGGGGAGCTGGAATACCTGGAACGCTCGGTATCATCGAGGTTGGCTGGAGCGCAGGGGCAAGACTCAATCAAGATTCCCATGGTGCACGGATGCAGCAGTGAGGATTACAGGCGGGTCGATACCAAAGTGGTCTGCATCTCATGTCGTCGAGGGGGAGTGTTGTAAGTGCATGACGCACTGGATTCGACTCCAGAGATTCGACCCATGATAGGGTATGTCTAGAATGTTCTTTAGGGTTCTATGCATTATTATAGGTCGTACGGCAGCTAGACGTATGGATAGTTCTCACTTGTAGATTGACAAACCACTGATGAGGCCCCCGGCGGGGGGCCGAAACGCGTCTGGTGCGCGGTAATATACAAGTCATTTACTTTACTTAACTCCTACTTCTTACAAACAGGACAGGTCCCAAGCAAACGTCACTCCAGCGTAAAATGATCTAATGTTTGCTGACATGCCTGATTGCGGTCGAAAACTTTTGCTGACACACGAAGTCAGCACACACTGACACGAAAAAAGATCATCGTATTAAACGTCTCAGCCCCTGGCTCAGTGCACTCACACATGGCCACCCCACGTATTATGGCATGTGTACTGAATTGCTCGATGTTCTCTAATACCCGCTTGGGCTCCGTTAGACAAGATATCAATATCTCGACCGCCCGACCTGAGGACGCCTGTTCATTTTTTCAATGGAGTATATAAAGAAATGAATCGCTGACGATAAGGGTTGCGCTCGCTAAAGTATTTAGCCTAAAATTTCATACCACGAGCTGACGACAGTCATGCAACGCCTGTTCTTTTCATAAAAATTGACCAAATTAGCAAGGGTTGGTAAGGTTCTGCGCGTATTATTGAATGACACCACATGCACCACCGCTTGTGTAGCCTCCCATTGATCCCTTTGAATTTCAATCTTGCGATTATGCTTTTTAGGAGGGGGGTGCTTAACGCGTTAGCTGTCATATCAAAAATTCCGAGATACTAGCAATCAGCGTTTACGGCATGGACTACCGGGGTATCTAATTCCCGATCACTTCTCAAACTTTGATTTCAGTGTCATCTGATCCGTGTCGTAATGGAGTCCATGTGCTACATCTGCTTGAAAGTAAGAAAAATGATAAATGACTTCTATATTGAAATGCGGATCAGACGCGATTCGGCACCGCCGGGGGCCTCGTTAGCGGCTTGATCAATGAGAAGTGAGCTCTGCTGTATTACGCACTACAGACTCTATCACGCACTATACCCTGCAAAATGTTAGCGAGTGATGATGCGGTGACTTGTGAAGGGTGTATATTGCATATTTGCATTAGTTGTATAGTTCTTTGGCATTTTATATTGTGGGATGTTGGCAAAACGACAAGTCACTGGATTGGCTCTGTCGTTTGGGAAGGGGGATTCCACGCGGGTGAGTGCGGGTTCGAACCCCGTGCAAGTAAATTGTGACTGACACTCACGACGTGGTGTTTGGGGTTCACCAGAACTGTGACCCGCCCGCAGTTACGTCCCCCACCCACGCAATCGTTTTCATTCTGCATATGACACAGCGGAGTTTTTACGAAAGGTATTTACGAGACGTAATTACCCAGGGATAGGTAAAACAGAAAGCGGTGGAGACAGGGCACGAAATAGGTGGCTGAGAGCCACCGGCTACTACTAGCCATTCGTTTTCGAAGCTAGGAATAATTTGAATACAACTCACTTTTCGGTTTTCATCCCCGGCCGTAAGCCAATCTTCTTCTTCTCATCAGCTCCGCAACCTAGTTAATTCTAACAGGTTATGAGCCCAAAGAACGACTCCGGTTTCAAGGTCGAGCCTTTCGACGGCTCGAACTATGGGTTGTGGAGTTACACGATGAAGATGTACCTGATGTCGAAGGGGCTGTGGGGCGCGATCGCGGGCGATGAGACAACAAGTGAGGCCAAGGAACAGCAAGCCCACGCCGCGATCGTGCTGAATCTGAGCGATTCGCAGTTGATGCATGTCATCGACTCGGCCACCGCAACAGAAGCGTGGGGACGTCTGGCGCGATTTCATCACAGTCATGACATGGCGAATCGACTTTGGCTAAAGGAAAAGTTCGCGTCGTTCAAGTATGCAGCATCAAGCATGAGCGGTCATGTCATGGAGCTGGAGGACCTCGTGATGAAGATGAAGCGCGCGAACTGCGGTCCGAGTGAAGAGGACGTGTGCGCAGTACTGTTGCGGAGTCTACCTTCAAGCTTCGAGAGCTTGGTACAGGCATTCCGCATGTCCGTCGCAAGCTTCAGTTTCAGTGACCTCGTGAGCAAGTTGATCGCCGAAGAAGTGCGCCAGAATGAGGCTGCACGGGTAGAAGATGCGACGGCGCTCTACGCAGGCAAGAGGAAGGGTAAGCAGTACCCGAAGAAGCAACAAGTACGGCGCGCGAAGGGACCATCAGGGACCTGCTACAACTGTGGCAAGGTCGGACACTACGCAAGAGATTGTCGCTCCGGTCGAGGACCAAGGGAGCACCAGCATGACCAGTCAAACGTCGCGTTTAATGCTTGCGAAGGTTTAGCGAGCGACAGCTGGGTCATGGACAGTGGCGCGTCAGCACACATGTGCAAGGATCGAGATGCGTTCGAAGAGTACGAAGAAGTGCATCATGCGCGCAGTATTTCAAGCGCAAAGAGCGACGTGAAGCTGAATGTCATTGGACATGGGACAGTGAAGCTGCGCGTCTGGACAGGGCATGCGTGGATCGATGCTCGCCTTGAGAACACACTTCACGTTCAAGATTTGTCCAAGAACCTGTTTTCGCTCACGGCTACGGCAGCGCGCGGCATGACAGTGGAGATTACGCGCAACGCGTGCGTGGTGAAGCGTGGCGTCAAACCCGTCGCAACAGGAAGGAAGCAGGGTTTCCTATTGTATCTAAACGCTGACTATGGTACGGAGTGCCACATGGCCGAAGACGATACAGAGCTGTGGCATAGAAGACTGGGCCACGTGTCGTATGGTACGCTGAATGCCATGGTCAAGGACGGAAGGATCAAGGGCGCAACGATGAAGACGAACGTTGCGTGTGACGTATGCGCAACGTCAAAGCAAGTGCGCAAGTCATTCAAGACAAGTGAAGAAGATGCTGAAACTAGGGAGAGTTCGCGTTCCGACGTGGCGGTGTGCTCCGACGTTCTCGGACCTATCACGCCAGCGTCCAAGTCTGGTTTCAGTTACGCCGTAACCTTCATCATGATGAAGAGCAGGTATGTAACGGTCTATCCGTTGCGAAAGACGAGCGACGTTGCGAGTGCGTTCAAGCGGTTTTACCAAGATGTCAAGACAGCATCTGGAACGAAGATAAAGGTGTTGCGAAGTGACAACGGCGGCGAATACCGGAACGAAACGATGAACAGCTTTTGCAAGGCAAAGTTCATTAAGCAAGAGTTCACGGTTCCGTACAATCCAGAGCAGAACGGGATGGCGGAGCGGATGAACCGCACGCTGGTGGAGATGACGCGCTGTATGCTCAAGGAAAGCGGTCTCGAAAAGTTGTACTGGTGCGAGGCACTAATGACAGCGGCAGACATCAAAAACATTCTGCCGAACGCGTCGAACAAGAGCTCAAGCCCACACGAGATGGTGTTCAAGAAGGTTCCGCGCATCGATCACATGCGCGTGTTTGGTGCGCAATGCTATGCGCATGTGGCGAAGGAGAAGAGAAAGAAGCTGGACGACTCAGGCGTGCGATGTTTCTTTCTCGGCTATGCGAAGGACCAAAAGGCGCATCGGCTTCTCAACGCGGACGATGGCTCAATCGTGATTTCAAGAAGCGTCACGTTCGCTGAGCATTCTGTCTCGAAAGCATCGAAAAGCAGAGACACGCGGGTCTTCGATGTCATTGAAGAAGAGGAAAGTGTGGAGGCGTCGCTAACCGATGATGAAGACATACCAGCGCCGGTGACCGAAGAAGAGCTGCGCACCCCACCACTTCGAGCGCAGAACAGCTCTCATCCCGGACCAAGTGATCGACCAAGCGACACCATTCCTACGCGCGCATCCAGCACACCCGGAAGAAATGGAGAAGAAGAGTGGATGGTGCGACCGGTTCGGAAGAAGCGCGGCGTGGTTCACTACGATCAAGAATTTCCAAGCCATTGTCGCGGTCGCTTCAATTTGGACGACTACGAAGGTGACTTCGACTCTTTCTACTGTTTCTCGGCTGAAGAAGATGGGGAACAAGCGTCCAGCTATCAAGAAGTGATGAAGAGCGGCTACAAGAAGCAGTGGCTCGAGGCAATGAAGAGTGAGATGAAGTCGCTTGAAGAACACAGCACATGGAAGCTAGTGGACATGCCACCGGGTAAGAAGTCCGTTGGCTGCAAGTGGGTCTTCAAGATTAAACGTCCAAGTGGCGAGATTGTCAAGTTCAAGGCACGTTTGGTTGCGAAAGGGTTCACGCAGCGTCCTGGTATCAACTACAACGAGACCTTTGCACCAGTGGCGCGCAAGGAATCTATCAACACAGTGTTGGCGATCGCTGCAGCTGAAGACCTGGAAGCAGAAAACGTTGATGTCGACACAGCGTTTCTCTATGGCGAAGTGGAAGAGGAGATCTACATGGACCAACCTGACGGTTTTGAAGATGAAGGAAGCCCTAATAAGAAGTGTTTGCTGCAGAAGGCGCTATACGGGACGAAGCAAGCGGCGCGGCAGTGGAACAACAAGTTGAGTCAGCACTTGGTTGATCAAGGATTCAAGAGCAGTACAGCGGACCCGTGTGTGTTCGTTCGAGTGACAAGAGAGGAGTACAGCATCATCGTGATCTACGTGGACGACTTGATGATTTTCTGCAAGACGAAGGAGCACATCGCAAGTATCAAGAACTCATTGATGGAAGATTTCAGCATTAAAGATCTTGGAGATCTCAAGTACTGCCTCGGGATCGAGATTCATCGCAAGCGCGAAGATGGAACGATCAAGATGAACCAGAAGGCGTACATCAAGCGACTGTCGGAGAAGTTCGGCGTTGAGAACTGCAAGGACGTGTACACGCCAGCGGACAGTAACTCGAAGCTGATCAAGATGGGTCAAGAGGAAGCGTTTGTACCAAAGTACCCATACCGTGAGCTGGTGGGCGCTTTAATGTACATCGCCATATGTACACGACCGGACATTGCGCATGCGGTTGGCGAAGTTGCGAAGTTTTGCGAGCGCTACGACAAGTCGCATTGGACAGCAGCAAAGCGGATTCTCAAGTATCTCATGACGACTCAAGACTTAAGCATCGTTTTCAGCGGCATCAACAAGGGAGAGCTGATCGGATTCGCGGATGCAAACTGGGCTGGCGACCTCGACACGCGGCGTTCGACAACAGGATACGTTTTCTTCCTGTACGGAAGCGTGATATCGTGGAATTCGAAGCGTCAACCAACGGTCGCGACCTCAAGTACGGAAGCAGAGTACATGAGTCTGTACAGCGCGACGCAGGAAGCAATTTGGCTCCGAAGTCTGCTCAAGGACCTGAACTACTGTGCCAAGAACGCGACGACGATTTTTCAAGACAATCAAGGATGCATCGCGCTGGCCAAGAATCCTGTGTACCACTCGCGCACGAAGCACATCGACATCAAGTTTCATTTTTTGCGTAGCAAGTGCAGTGATCGCGCTCGAGTTCAAGCCGACGGAAGAAATGGTCGCGGATGGATTCACCAAGGCACATCCAAGAGACAAGCACAGCAAGTTCATCACGGGTCTGTGCATGGTGGTGTAGGGCGCACACGTCGCACGCACATCAAGGAAAAGTGTTAGCGAGTGATGCTGCGGCGACTTGTGCAGGGTGTATGTTGCATATTACCACTAGTTGTACTGTTCTTTGGCAGATTCATGTCGTGGGATGTCAGCGATACGACAAAGCATCAGATTGGCTCAGTCGTTTGGAAGGGGTATTCCACGCGGGTGAGTGCGGGTTTGAATCCCGTGCAAGTTAATTGTGACTGACACTCACGACCTGGTGTTTGGGGTTCACCAGAACTGTGACCCGCCCGCAGTTACGTCCCCCACCCACGCAATCGTTTTCATTCAGCATATGACACAGCAGAGTTTTTACGAAAGGTATTTACGAGACGTAATTACCCAGGGATAGGTAAAACAGAAAGCGGTGGAGACAGGGCACGAAATAGGTGGCTGAGAGCCACCGGCTACTACTAGCCATTCGTTTTCGAAGCTAGGAACAATTTGAATACAACTCACTTTTCGGTTTTCATCCCCGGCCGTAAGCCATCTTCTTCTTCTCATCAGCTCCGCAACCTAGTTAATTCTAACACAAAACACATTCTGGTATTAACAGTTACCACACAACCACCACACAATAATCACCACAACTGGCAGCTGAGGAGTTTACCAAAATAGGAGTGTCCGCTATGACAGCTCCTTTTCCAGCAATCCCATGTTGACGAAGTTGCGCATCTCCAGCGAGCCCAATATTACTGTCCGCCTTTTGGGCTACCTTTCATCGAAGATCCAGACGTTTCGCGGTATTTCAGTTAAAAGGAGTGTTAAGAATCGGTGATGCGACATGTGCGCATAGAGAAAATGTTTTGTGTCGTTGTGATTACTACCTCGCGGAAACATCAGCGACTCATTCTTCGCATTGACGCAAACATGAACTCAACGACTCGTGCACCTGGTGCAAACAACATCAACAAATTGGCCACAGCAGCACGACTTCTCACCATTTGTCTTGAGCTTTGTGCTCTGATCGCGCAGGCCGACAAAATCTGCCTGGTCTGCCTCTCGTGATTGTCGGCCGCCCTCTTTCGATAAAAGGGCATCAACCGCTAATTATGGAGACGAAGATCTGCAACAGCTCTCTTTACAAGTAAATCTTACGGTATCTGCTCTCGCCTGATCGATATCTTCAGACTGGCAACTTCGGCTCCTATTGAGGTCATTCACGTTCTGAAACCGTGCCGCTACGAAGTTTATGTTCTGTCTGAACACCCAGCTTTGCTTTCCGCATAGACTTCACTTTTCATGACTGTGAGTTTGTTTATGTTTCGATGGTCTTTCGAACGAGGGTTTTGGCAGTAGTGATCGTCCAATCTCTCCGTTGTGTTGTGCTGACATAGATACGTTTTGACACAAGATGAATGAACAAGTGCCAATCTGCATTGCACTTTCCAGTGGATTATCGCCCTAGTGACTCACTTTCCCAGTGAGTTATCACCCTAGTGACTCATTCGATTCGCGTGAAGTGTCTTGCGTTTGATATCGCGTACACGTTGAGGTTACTGTTGGAAATCAAAGAGATGTAATGAAAGGCTTCTGTATTAAAACGCCAGACACGTTTCGGCTCCCCGCCGGGGGCCTCGTCAGTAGCTTATCCAATCTAGAAGTGAGATCTTTCTGTATCGTGCACTACCAAACCAAAAATCTTCTAGAACTTAGTGTAAACACACAAATCACCCACTGTAACTACTAAACCTGGCAAGTGGGGCGTCGACCCGGAAGGGAGTGTCCGCTATGACAACTCCACTTCCAACAGTTACTAGGGAGAGCATCCTGTGTCGGAAGCAAGCGCACGCATATTGCCATGATGAAGAATTTCTTTCGATAAAGTGGAGCTTGTGAAGTGGGGTGGGAAGCAGTCACTCAGTACATCGATGCTGCCTGCGATACTGCGTTACTTCTCTTTTCCTCTGATCACGGTTTGTCAGGTTCGGTATTTGGTAAAGAGTGTGTTTTGTCGGTCAAAGCAACTACGCGACGGGGGACTCGAACCCGCAACCCCCAGATTCGAAGTCTGATACGCTATCCATTGCGCCAGCCGCGCGCTGATGTCTGGGGTAGGGTTATCATAAACTATAAATCATTGCTTTGCACACAAAAAACTGTACTGCTCTCGACCCTTTTAGCTCCAACACTTGGGTGGGTGCCATACCAAAGCATCAAAAGTCTTCGTTACTGATGAAGGCACTTTAGTCTTTGCCGATGAACCCGTGTTGGATTCACATATCAATGCAATCCTCTTTCGATTTGTAAAATTGTGTGTCTTTCCGAAGAAAAGGGTCTTGTTTTGGCAAGCACTAGAATACGTAGGTACGTGCGCACACATGCAAGGGTCATCTTTTTCGCGCAATAATTCAAGCGGCATCATCAGAGAGACAAGTCAGAGAGTGTGAAATGAGGCTTGCACCTAACTCGAATTTCTCTCGTTGCAAGCGGACGAGTCAAAGTGATCCATCCGTAAGTCGCATGAAAACATCAGCTGTAGACCTACGACACAAGGATGTGCAAGTGACGTAGGACGGAGCGCCGACAAGACTCCATCGAACTGGTCGTATCGAGGAAGGATATTATGTATTTACTAGCTACCAAGATAGCTTTGGTAAAGCGTGTTTGACAAGATTGTCCGATTCCGTGCGATATCAACAGGACAGGTCCCAAGCAAACGTCACTCCAGCGTAAAATGATCTAATGTTTGCTGACATGCCTGATTGCGGTCGAAAACTTTTGCTGACACACGAAGTCAGCACACACTGACACGAAAAAAGATCATCGTATTAAACGTCTCAGCCCTGGCTCAGTGCACTCACACATGGCCACCCCACGTATTATGGCATGTGTACTGAATTGCTCGATGTTCTCTAATACCCGCTTGGGCTCCGTTAGACAAGATATCAATATCTCGACCGCCCGACCTGAGGACGCCTGTTCATTTTTTCAATGGAGTATACAAAGAAATGAATCACTAACGATAAGGGTTGCGCTCGCTAAAGTATTTAGCCTAAAATTTCATACCACGAGCTGACGACAGTCATGCAACGCCTGTTCTTTTCATAAAAATTGACCAAAATTAGCAAGGGTTGGTAAGGTTCTGCGCGTATTATTGAATGACACCACATGCACCACCGCTCGTGTAGCCTCCCATTGATCCCTTTGAATTTCAATCTTGCGATTATGCTTTTTAGGAGGGGGTGCTTACGCGTTAGCTGTCATATCAAAAATTCCGAGATACTAGCAATCAGCGTTTACGGCATGGACTACCGGGGTATCTAATTCCTGATCACTTCTCAAACTTTGATTTCAGTGTCATCTGATCCGTGTCGTAATGGAGTCCATGTGCTACATCTGCTTGAAAGTAAGAAAAATGATAAATGACTTCTATATTGAAATGCGGGTCAGACGCGATTCGGCACCGCTGGGGGCCTCGTTAGCGGCTTGATCAATGAGAAGTGAGCTCTGCTGTATTACGCACTACAGACTCTATCACGCACTATACCCTGCAAAACACATTCCGGTACTTACAGTTACCACACAACCACCACACAATAATCACCACAACTGGCAGCTGAGGAGTTTACCAAAATAGGAGTGTCCGCTATGACAGCTCCTTTTCCAGCAATCCCATGTTGACGAAGTTGCGCATCTCCAGCGAGCCCAATATTACTGTCCGCCTTTTGGGCTACCTTTCATCGAAGATCCAGACGTTTCGCGGTATTTCAGTTAAAAGGAGTGTTAAGAATCGGTGATGCGACATGTGCGCATAGAGAAAATGTTTTGTGTCGTTGTGATTACTACCTCGCGGAAACATCAGCGACTCATTCTTCGCATTGACGCAAACATGAACTCAACGACTCCTGCACCTGGTGCAAACAACATCAACAAATTGGCCACAGCAGCACGACTTCTCACCATTTGTCTTGAGCTTTGTGCTCTGATCGCGCAGGCCGACAAAATCTGCCTGGTCTGCCTCTCGTGATTGTCGGCCGCCCTCTTTCGATAAAAGGGCATCAACCGCTAATTATGGAGACGAAGATCTGCAACAGCTCTCTTTACAAGTAAATCTTACGGTATCTGCTCTCGCCTGATCGATATCTTCAGACTGGCAACTCCGGCTCCTATTCAGGTCATTCACGTTCTGAAACCGTGCCGCTACGAAGTTTATGTTCTGTCTGAACACCCAGCTTTGCTTTCCGCATAGACTTCACTTTTCATGACTGTGAGTTTGTTTATGTTTCGATGGTCTTTCGAACGAGGGTTTTGGCAGTAGTGATCGTCCAATCTCTCCGTTGTGTTGTGCTGACATAGATACGTTTTGACACAAGATGAATGAACAAGTGCCAATCTGCATTGCACTTTCCAGTGGATTATCGCCCTAGTGACTCACTTTCCCAGTGAGTTATCACCCTAGTGACTCATTCGATTCGCGTGAAGTGTCTTGCGTTCGATATCGCGTACACGTTGAGGTTACTGTTGGAAATCAAAGAGATGTAATGAAAGGCTTCTGTATTAAAACGCCAGACACGTTTCGGCTCCCCGCCGGGGGCCTCGTCAGTAGCTTATCCAATCTAGAAGTGAGATCTTTCTGTATCGTGCACTACCAAACCAAAAATCTTCTAGAACTTAGTGTAAACACACAAATCACCCACTGTAACTACTAAACCTGGCAAGTGGGGCGTCGACCCGGAAGGGAGTGTCCGCTATGACAACTCCACTTCCAACAGTTACTAGGGAGAGCATCCTGTGTCGGAAGCAAGCGCACGCATATTGCCATGATGAAGAATTTCTTTCGATGAAGTGGAGCTTGTGAAGTGGGGTGGGAAGCAGTCACTCAGTACATCGATGCTGCCTGCGATACTGCGTTACTTCTCTTTTCCTCTGATCACGGTTTGTCAGGTTCGGTATTTGGTAAAGAGTGTGTTTTGTCGGTCAAAGCAACTACGCGACGGGGGACTCGAACCCGCAACCCCCAGATTCGAAGTCTGATACGCTATCCATTGCGCCAGCCGCGCGCTGATGTCTGGGGT